TTTGACTCAGCACATGCAGTGTATTCACACTGCAACAGCCGTTCCGGTTTTCGGGTGCCGTGATAGGTTGAGCGGCGGCGACACCCAGTAGGCGGAGCCCGATTTTCTTTGGGTCCCCATTGGCTGGTCGCGGCGCACCTCCGTAGCACGGTCTTCCTGACTCCGGTTACGGCAGTGTCAGCAGTAGGCTTATGACAAGCCTATATGGCTCGCCCCTGATTGGCCACACGGACTTTATAGTTAGAGAGGAGGAGGACAACGAAATGTTCTGATGAAGGGGGCGTGCCCCGGAAACGCGTCAACGTCATCACACACAGGAATTGTCTAGTGGATGCCTTACTGCATGTCAGCTCCCATTCCATGCCTGTGTAACACTCATGTTTGTGAGTACCATTGTATCTCCTTTTACTTCATGCTTATTGAGATAAATTGATCTGCACTAGGAAAGGCGCTCCCTTTGTGTTTACTTTCCCTTTTTTTCTAGTACATCACAAATCCATTCCAATCAAAACTCAGACATCGTTTTTGAGACATCTAATGAATGCTGCCAAGGTGTGCATTCCAGCTTGTTGGTGGCAGGACATTTCACCTTCCATTTCTTTGCGGTTGCACAAAGTAGAAAAGATTCATTACATGGAAAACATGATCCATTCCCAACAAGACCAAATGGAAGCCTTTAATAAAACTTGGAATTATTGCATTCTTTCCTCTTCTCTGATGGAGCCAGGGGTTTTCTAGTGGATTCTGAGTAAGAAGGGTATGCTGCAGGATGTTGCTTGCATGCTGATGTTTATTTTATTTTTTTTAGCTGCAGACCCTCTCTTCATCTCCACTGCTTATCTTCCTTACTGGAATTTTCCCTTACATGGGGTTTCTAGTTTATTATCCTCTTCACAAATCCTCTAGGGGATGGCCAGGGTTCTCCCCTCAGTGGCACCTCCCATACAACAAGTCCCCCGAGGAAATCGCCTAGTTCCAAGGGACTGCTTACTGAAAATTGCTTTACCCTTTTTTGGAATCTTTGAGTATTTTTTATTCTATTTGACTTTCACTGTTTGTGGATATACATAAATAAAGAATTTGAAAAAAAGAATACCTATAAGGATAATGAAATAAATTAATATAATACGGCAACTTAAAAAAACAGCATTTTTGTGGTCTAAGCCACTTAGCCAGGAAAACATTATATTCAAAGATCCCAATAATAATAATCATAATCACCACCTATTACGCTGACTTTTGTCTAGCTTGATCCATTGGAACTTCTCGTTATCTGTGCAATAATAATTCTGAACTGCAAACACTCAGACCATTAGAAAAACCTTTTCTACTGATTTTAATATCTTCTTTCTAAATACTTGACGTTAATGCATTTCACATTAGAATTTCTCCTTCTTCAGTAGTTACTGTATAGCATTTGGTAGCTCCCAGCAAGCTCCCGAGAAAATAGCAAGTCTGCAATTGAATGGGCAATTTCTATTCTGACTCCTGCGTGTTGTCACATAATGGGAGGACGTGGGCAGCCTGTAAAATGTAACCTCGCTGGCTCGGCAGGTATTATACATACAGAGTGGCTGCAATCTGTGGACATTATTAAATGAAAGCGTATTTGTGTTTTAGTGGGAAAAACGGTTCCAGGGGAATTAGCTCTGCTATTTTTAGAGTTATCCCTTTAGCAAAACCCATAATTCACCATGTTCTCTCCTAGTTAATCTACAGTTTACATGCCGAGGTACAGAAGGAATCAAAATGACTGAAGGCAATTGGATGAATATTTAAGCTAGTAATGATTTCAGATAACACAGAAAAAGCCGCCCGAGATCAAGCACCCGGTTATGATTTACCTCTGGTTTTTATGTGTCCTTATAAAGACGGTCTTAGTTTTCAATTTCGTGTGAAGTCTTTTTTGTATTTTAGATGACAATACCTTTTACTCAAAATATACCCCTTGCCTATGCATGATAGAGGCAGCCAATTACTTATATGGACTGACATGCAAGTGCATCAGGAAGTAAATATTAAAATGCATTCAAGTACCTTAACTATTAAAAATGGAGCTTATTTGTGTATCACTCAGCTGTAGATCCTGAAATCATCTCTTGACTTCATGCTGACACTGTCCTTCCTTCAGGAGGGTGGCTACTTATGTTCCCAATGGTCCCTGTGTATGTTGTAAAGTTGCCACCGTTTCAAGCTCACTCCCATAATGGATTATAATCTCAATACAAATTACAGGTAAACTAAACGTGAGATTGTAGTCCATCATGGGAGGGAGCTTGGGGCACTTGCTACTTTACAACACACACAGGGACCATTGGGAACAAAAGTAGGACAGTGTCAGAACCAATTCAGAGATGATTTGAGGATCTATAGCTGAGCGATACACAAATGAGCTCCATTTTTAATAGTTAAGGTACTTGAATGTATTTTTAAGATGTAACTCCTGAGTATAGTGTCCCTTTAAAATCAATATTTTCAATAAGTCCCCCCTCTGCCTGTCTGAAAAGCAACCCATGGTGAATTGCTTTACAGAGGGTGGTAAAGCAACAGCTGCCCCAGCGTTCAGGAGGTGGTACTATCTGTTTACATCCTATTACCTCTGATCCATCACATTTAGGTCTGGAAAACCAGAGAACGGCGCAAGCCTGTTTTTTTCTCGGAATTAAATGGACTTGGAGGTAACTGCATGTAAATGGACACGTCTGTGTACATACAGCTACACACGGGGTTACATTGTTTTCCAATCAGATCTGCCTGAAACACTAACAGGCGGATCTGATTGGACTGTTCGTGTGAAAGGGGTCTAAAGGACCTTTACTTACATGATCCCCGTTCCCCCTGACAGTTGGCACTCACCTCTCTATCCTCCGCTCTGGCTTCAGGACTGGCCCTCAGTGTCCACACATATAATGCAGGGCTATGGACCCTGCATTAGATGTGATGACCTCAGCAGGCCTCCAACTGTCGGACCACAGGGGTAGACGAGGTTGTAGGCATCAATCTTGAAGCCTGCAGGAGCAGGGATCAGGTAAGAAAAGGTCCCCTAGACATTAATGTGCGGTTAACCCTTGCAGTGCCGGGGTATCCCCGCTGCAAGGGGAATATAGGCTTTAAAGAGTTAGAGAAAAGGGGGTTGGTGTTCCTACCTGGAGATCCGACTAATTATACGCCCTAATTCAGGTTTGCATATTTGCTTATTTAGACCGATCCGTGACCAAACAATCATGTGCAAAAAAGAAGGGAGGTTAACTCGTTAGAAGGTAACGAGTCAGTAGCGGTCAACTGAGGGATCCGGACAAGCAGCTAATATGCAAAAATTAAATTTATTAGAAGAATTCAATGAAACAACATACATTAAATACTTTAATGTGTTGTCTTTAATGTATGTTGTTTCAATGAATTCTTCTAATAAATTTAATTTTTGCATATTAGCTGCTTGTCCGGATCCCTCAGTTGACCGCTACTGACTCGTTACCTTCTAACGAGTTAACCTCCCTTCTTTTTTAAAGAGTTAGAGGTCCAGGAAACAAATGAACAAGACACAGCCTTCAACATGTTACAGCTGTTGCCCAATTCTAGTTTATATGCTAATGCCAGAGTCTTCATGTAAATTAACTAAAGAAGAGAATTCTGCAGCTCTGGTGTAAACAGAAAATTGTTACAGCTAAAAGCAGTAAAAACATTACAGACAAATTTCTTCTGATTTGTAACCAGATTCTTTAAAATGTTAACAGTTTCAGTAAAGACAATATGACAGGTCCCATTTAGACAGCACTTGTTAATTCCAGACACATAACTTCTAAGCAAATGGCCTGCTATTACCCTGTCTGCACAGTTTTAAAAACTGCCTGATAAGCCACCTCTAAAATGACAGTTTAATGCTGCCTGTTACACATAGTGGGATTATGTAAAATGTCTTGGTATAAAAAGAATATTCTTTCTACTAAAATGGTCTGATTTTTAAACTGAGATACTCTGTAAAAGGCACACATGCAATAAGGTTCGGATGTCTTTTTATTAGTTATCAGGCTTATGTTGGCATCACAATGTCATATAATTGATCAGTAGCATTTCTACCTGGAACCATTTATCATATCTGGCTTGATCTAAAAGACAAGAAATGGTAGAGAGGGGGAGGTGAACGCATTGTGTAACATCATTCAGCTCTGTTCCCTTGTTCTGTAGATTAATTTAGGTTAAATTAAACCCATACTTTGCCCATGTTGGGCAAACCACAGGTCAACTTTAATGCAAACCCCAGAAGTTATGTATTCTTGTGTTTCCTTTACTCCCCTAACTGCTCTGTTTGCCAATGGGAGCAAAAAAAATAAGCTGAGTAAGCTCCAAGATGCGACACTTGCTTGAGTACTATCTACTCAGCACCAGGTGCCTCACTGACCACATGCTAACAATCAGCTTTGACACTATGCCTGGAAGTAACGGATATGCCACTTCACTTCCCCAGGAAATCAGAGTGACAGAGGAGCAAAGAAAACAAAATTATAATCAGTTTTTGGGTCAGCATTATAATTAACATTTTGCACTGCCAATGTCCAGATTCATTTTAAGGCCATGTACTTTCGGGGCTCGTCAGATTATATCTAATGCTCCACTAGGTACTGGGAAGAAGATTATGGGAGAAATCCCAACATCCAGGTTGAATGATGCAAAGACCAGTGGTACCGTGGAATGGGGACAAGTAAGAAAGCATTAATACAAAGTACACTTTTCTCTACCCCTTGTACCATTTAATGTTTACATTTGCACGTAGCTTCTCGGTTCTCAATGCAAGTGATCTACTCCAGCAGTCCAGCAGTTTCAACTGTAGCACCACCTCCTGCTTTCAAAATGTGAAATTGCAGCACAATCATTAACTGTGGTCAAAGATATGTGTAATTAGTCAGATGTTAGTCTCTTACAACAGCAGGGTATAGTTGCCACTGTTTATGCTGGAAGTGGGGGTAGTTAAATGGTACTGCACAGATAAGCAGTGGGCATCACTTTATTCTTTTATATTACAATTTGTTGCTCAAGCCACTTAATTATATGAAGCTCCAGCTAACACTGCCATTGGAAGGAGCTACAGATGAAGAGCCAGACCTACCCAGTCTTAATTCAGAAAAAGAAGCTAGGTCAACCTTAGAGACACCAGCGGGCATACAGTACAGTAGTATTAAGTATACATGTAAGGCAATCATGACAATGGCTATATTCTCTGTAATGTCTATTGTTATTTGTGCTCTGCATAACAGCTTGCATAAATGAACAGGATGTGGCAACTCTTCCTGTCCACACATAACAAAACTACTCCCTACATATATTATAATACATGAAGGGCATCCCGCATATTACAAAGTATCTTAAAAAAAAAAAAGGAAAGAACAAGCAGAACCATTAAATGTCTAATGGACTAACAATGGTGAAGTCGGAATCCTTGCTGTTGCTGCTGTCGTCATCCGGACTGGAACTGAGATTGCCAGAGGAAATTTGTCCACCCATCAGAGGGTCTGAGAAGGTTAGTGGGTTTGATGGAGCTTCATGTTTCTTGTCTGATGGACCACTGTATTTCTTCATTGGCTCCTTCTGTGCCGGCTCCAAGCCTGCATTGCAGCTACTGGTTTCACCTTCCTTGGTGATAAGTATATAATCATCAGATTGCCGACTCTCTGTACTTCCAGAATCATCACCCTCTGCCTATAATCAGGAATGAACAAATGCTACAAGTTAGGGTTTCTGGATATACATGGGAACAAAAATAGAAATCAGTATTTATTAGTCAATTAAAAGTCTTGCTTGTCTGTATCATTTAGAATGATCTATGAATATGGTGGAAGCCTTGTTAGGATCCTCGTTTCACTGCTGATGGAAAGCAGCACATTCAGCAGTAGCCAGGGACTGTGTCATCTAGACTGCCTAAAATGGGAGTTGTGTTTTTATAGTTATGGAGACACACATGACTTTGCAATTGCTGACATGTGCCTCGCTGATTTATGTAAAGCATGAACTAATGGAGAGGTTCACTCAAAGGCTTTTTTTCCAGTTTCCTAATAATAATGCTTTTATACTCATATATCTGACAGCAATGTTTTATGTTAATTGTGTTAGTTTGCGCGCTGATACACTAACTGGAATTCCCTGTACTTTATGCCTGACAGTTGATGATTGCTCTATCTTCCGTTGATGAATACACAGTACTGATGGCAAGAAATAGGGAACTGACTTAATTTAAAGATGCATGTTCCAGTGCTATTATCCTTATCCTTCCTCCGCTACTTAGGCCAGTAACCTAGAACAAGCACGTGAATACTCAACCTTTGTTGAACTTCCTCTCTGCTCCTCCGTATGAAATGCCCAGTACATCTGAGAACCAATTAGCAGACCCAAAGCTGTTACATGAAGTAGGTGAGCAGGTCATTTAAACCCATGGAAGCTCTGATCCTGTCCAACATGTGCTTACACAAAATTTAGACCCATGGCTACACTGGAGAAATGGAGAGTGGTGGGGGGAGCATGACAAAAGTGAGTTTTAGTGAGTAACAATGTGGGGAAGGTGGGGTAGCCAAAGAACCTGTTACTTTGCCCTCTTTGGCAAAGTGGAAGATTCTCTTTAGAGTTTAAAAAAAATCTACACTTTCTAAAGATTTATGTCAGTGAATGTGATCGGCTTAATGTAAATACCGTTAGAGTAGAACTCAAACACTAGTTGTGCTTATTAGGGAGATTTATCTTCAATTGCTATAAAACAAGAGGTGAAATGACAACCCCTGAAAGGTCATCTTTGACAGTTGTCACCAGAACAGGTATCCACAGTCTCCTAACCCTTGTCTTAGTGACTACTATAAAATATTTTCCTACTTTCTGTTCTAATTAATGTATTGACCAAGCCAGGAGGTGAGAGGTTATCTCCCCCATTGGCATCCCCTATTAAGTCTACTATAAGACTGCAATAATACCTCTTTAACCTTTATAGTAGTATACAAATGGCCGCCCTCCTGTGCTATCTTTTTTTTTTAACTAAACTTTTTCTGTCTTCACTGGTACATTTCAAAGGGAATAAACCTGAGAATTAAAAGTTTTATAACAGCTCATATTGGGGGGAATTTATGAACGTGTTTGCGACAACATTTTTTGTCACAAAGACCAAAATGTCATGCTAACTATCCACAAAGTCTTATCTCTGTTATTCGCCTTTTTCGAGGTGTACTTGTGATATACACAGTAATTGCTTACAGCATTTGTCACATTAAAAACCCTCCAAACTGTTGAACATTCTAGAAGTCCTCCTGAGCACTTCTTAAAGTATGGCAAAGATAATTCAGCTTCATAGTCAGCTAAGCACTTCAGGTATTCAGTTGTCATCCAGGAGGTTCCGTGCAAGCTTGCCACAATTTAGAGACAGTTTAGAGACCGGGACAATTTTAAGACAGTTCTCCTTATGAAGGCATTTAATAATGAAACTAGGACAATAAATCTGTCACTATATGCACTATAAATCTGGGATACGGCACCTACAAGACACGGACGTTGTGACCAAATTGATAAAGTCCTCCATTGTATATTACAAGGGTATTATTTTTATTTTTGCTCCTGTTATATTTGTTATTATTATTTGCTGTACCTGGTGCTACTGGTTTTACTGTTACTTGTTAATGTGTTGCACCTCAATGCCACAAATCAACTGCTAGCTAATCACTAAAAAAGGTTAAAAAAATGCCTCTATTAACTAGAAAACTAAAATGAATATTTTACAGGGGACTTAAGAAAAATCAAGATCCATACACAAGACACCAAAAACCTAACTTATGTCTCAACTTTAGAATACAAGACATGTGTATATCTGCTTTTTAAGTGTACTGTGTTGATGTCTTGCTTGCATGCACTGTAGGCGCTCTGAATTCAGATCTGGCCTTGTTTAGATGTTGCTGTTAGGTGCAGTCATTGGTATTTCCTCATTCGTGATATAGAAGCTGTGTGCAGGCCGGATTGTTTATAAAAACACTCACGGACATTAGCCTCTTTTTGTTTATGTGTTGGATAGCAGGGAATGTTTTCTATCTTTAGGGCAGCATGATGATGTAAAAGTTGCGTAGGTCATAACTAGAAGCTGGATTACCCCAGTGAGACCCGACTTGGAATTCAATTACAAATAACAATACAACGTGAAAGTCACACTGTCTGCTATATGTTATTTTGTATTGAACCTCTTATTAAAGCTTTTCCTGTGAAATATTTTGTCTAGCGCTGAAATGTAATTACTTTCAACTTCAGCTAATTTAAACCTCATCTCTGTTTATATACATGTAATGGTCAATATGGCAAATCTGCTATTAGCCATAAGGGTGGTATGCCTTTGAGTATTGATGGAGAGACCTGAGCTGCCAAACCATTGTTAAAGTATTTGGTATTTAATACAATAGACATTTTTTGAATCCACTGGGTGCACTTCTCTCAGTAATTCTACCGGACAAGCCCTGACAGATGAGCTGCAAAGTCTAGTGTGCCGTGCAATTCAAGAAATGCAGTTGTACTCTAAGATATCCAACGTATGCATCAAACATTATTCTACCTGGCTGTACATGACCAAACCTGGATTCTCTAATTTTTATGACTAAGCCCACTGGTTGGGCGAAATGTGTAGGTAAGGATAACAGTGGTGCTTTGTATTGTCTAGCACAATACATTTTGATGCATATGCTGGATATCTTGGAGTGTGGCCACGTTTGCCCACATGTGGTGGGAGCTACAGCAGGCAGCCTTTTGCACCGAACATTCGAAGGTGAGCACGGCTGTTCTGAAAAGCTGCTGGGGAAAAAAAAGAAGGGTACTACAGACAAAAGACTAGCAGGAGTTTCTATTTTTGTGTGGTTTCATCACTCTTCCCACCAGTTTCTCAAAACAACACCCTTGCCTTTCTTATTGCAGATCTATCTACATCATATACACCATTAAAGTATATCAGATGTATACTAAAAGATGTAGAGGCCATCTTATGTACTAAAACATACTACAGCTTTATGTCTCTGTTTTCAGTTAACTTTTTCTTTATATTTACTACTTTTATTTTCGGAAAAATAATCCTTAAAAATATAACACTGTCAATTTATAGTACTACAAGCTCCCCATGCTTTTCTAATTTCAGAAGATGCATGTAATAATAAATAGAAAAATCTCATTAAAATACCCCATTAAAGAACATATTTTATTACTGAACAGCTTTACGAAAAACACATTGAATTATTTTGATTTTATGTTTCAGCTAGAATAACGCTTCCAGAGCCTCTAATAGGGTTTACTGGCCAAGATCCAGCTGTGCGATGATGGCGCCGATCCAGGGATAAATGAAAGGTTTGCCCAAAGGATCTGGGGACATACAGCTCATAGAAACAACAGAAATTCAGATGTGGTTTAGCATGGAAAAGGAGAAAAAAAGCCACAGACAAATGTATACGTATTGTACGGTTTGATATGTGGTGTCTTGACGTAGATTTGTCAGAGGTCAAATATTGAGCCCTTCTCAGATTAAGGAAATTCACAATGACATGAAGCATGTTGTCAGCCGGTCTCCTCTGCTGCTGACTAAATGAATGATGACAGAAGGAACTTGCTGTAGCTCTCCCAGATAATGACCTTATACATAATGCCATATGTCTTCTCGACATCTACCATTGTTTAAGATCAGGGACTACTCAATAACAACAACACACTGAAACTTGCTGAACTCTTTGTCTTACTGCACATTGTTTTATAACATTGTATTGAAATGTAACTTGAATTCGCTGTTGTTTCTTAAAGTCTAACTCTGCCAAAACTCTTTATTTTTTTAGATTTGGATAGAGGCAGGAAGAGACATTTTTACTCAGGTAATTATTTCTGTATTGGAGATGGGGGGCACCACCAGGATGGGAAGACAACAAGACAACAACGGGAAGAAAAAAAAAAGCTAATAGGTTTCAACCAACTCTTTTTTTGTTTTTCTCTTTTTGTTTTGTTTTTTTTCTCCGTATCTCTATAGGTTTAACTCGATGGACTTGTGTCTTTTTTCAACCTGACTAACTATGTAACTATGTAACCCTTCGGAACTCTATTAAAAATGTGTTTTTGTCCATGTGCCCATTGTAGAGATTTCCCAGTACTTTCTATTCTGAAAGGTGGTGAGGGAAAATTTCCCAACAAGAGCAAATAAAAATATGACATAGACTCTAGCCCTTTCTCATTGTATCCAAAACAAAATAAAACAAAAGTTTTTTAAAGTTGGGCTTCAAACTGTATTTTGTTGTATGTCTTCGACACTTTTTAGACTTTTTAAGTGGTCAATTCTGTTCTTTCTTTATTTTGTAACTTCTACTTCCTGTGTATTGTCATACAAAGTTCTGGCATTTTTATTTGTCTTCCCAGGTTTGCCAATTTACCACAGCTTTAGCAAAGGGGAGCTTCTGTCTCTGTTGGATTTTACTTTTATTTTATATTACAAATAATTCAACAAGAGCAATGGGAAATGGGGAGATTTCTGGAGTACATAAGATATGTAGAGGCCAAGGGTGATTCAGGCCAGCATGCTGCTCCTTTAACTGTAACAGCAGTTTAGAATGGGCCTACTCTATTCTCTACCTGCCATTTTTACTGTTGCCCATTTTCATGGGAATCAGTCCGTGTTAACCTTAAACCCCATTTCCACTTTTGCGGAAGGACTTAAAAATAAAAAAACATATGCCAGCAATGTACATTAAGTGTACATGAAGCAGGCATATGCAGCTGCTGTATATGAACATAGAAACTTACTATTTTGTTAGCTGTCCTTTCTATCTCCTCATGGCTCCTTTTGAAATGGCCACCTCTGTGCTCTGTAGGCAGTCTGTGTAAATTACAGGCAGCCCTGCACAGTGGGAACTACAATGCATGGGGTTGAAAAGCTACATTTCCCACAATGCTATGCTTCCCCCGCGCGCAAGCTTCTCCGTGGAAACTGAGCTCTTTCTCTGAGCTCTCCCCCCATTCATTAGTATTCATATTGGCAATACCCCCGAACAGTGCAGAGTGACCTGGAGAGGCAGAGCTGGTGTGCAGTGAACTTGTTACAATGACTCACAGGGAGGGGGTCAGCTGCTTTACAGCCAGTACAAGACAATAAGATTCCAGTGTTAGACCGAGTTTTCAGTGGAGGGAATTTAGAATTCATAGGACTCAAACCAACTTAATTGTCCATCAAAAAATTAAATAAGTTAGCAATGTGAGTGATGAAAATTAGTGATGGGCTGAACACCTCCGTGTTCAGTTCGAATTCGAACTTTAGAACATGAAAAAAGTTTGAATTCTAACTCGAACTCAATGCAAGTCTATGGGGCTAGAACTTTGACAACAGGCAATGGGTGGGTACAATAGCCAGCTTGCTATTGGCTATTGCAATTTAAAATATCCAATAGCAGGCTGGCTATTGTTACAAGTGTCCATTCCCTTTCCACCGCCTTTGGTGGTATATCTGGGGGGGGGGGGGGCAGCGGGGGATTTCACAGTCAGTTTTTTCTCCCTTCTCATGTTGGCTACAGAGGTCTGTGAAAGGGACACAGATCTCTGCAGCCAGCACCAGCAGGGAGAAGAGACACTTCACAGAACACTTACCGCCCGCCACACTGTCACACTCCGTTCCGTTCCGTCCAGAGAGGTCAGAGCGGAGCCTCTGTTTGGTGGAGAGGTGTTCCGGGGGAAGGGCTATGCGGGTCAATGGCCGGAGCTCTTGAAAATTTTTTAAAGGGCCGGTATCTGATCTAGGCATCGGGGCATTTTCAGGAGTACAAGTACTCCTGAAAATGCCCTGTATCGGCCCCGATACTGGTACTAGTATCGGTATCGGGACATCCCTATTAATAATACTAATAAAACTTTAAAAATCAGCCCTTTTTTGGCCTAAGCCAGGCCTACAAAACATTATATTAACAGATCCCTAAAATACATATAAGCACCATTTATTACATCATAAAAACTATAATGGTATATGCTTATGGACTTTAGCCGTTTAAAACTAATTATCAGACTAATAAGTGTATCTAATTAAACCAAAGTTACCTCTAGCAAATGTACCTTTTCTTGGCTTGGTGCTTCCTGCATCTCCTTGGCGAGGCCATCACTTTCCTCTTTTTTCTGCAGGCTAGAGCAATAGTGGTCATCTCTGATGGTTATCTCCTCATTTTCGTCAGCTTCAAGATGGCTTTGATTGAACCGTAGGGACCCTTTTAAAATGTCCTTTACCTGATGGTAGATAACATGACTTACATCTACATTCTTATCTGGTCCTCCTGTCCACATGCATGATACAAAGCCTTTCCTGGCCTAGCACACCACACTTACATACAGTACAAAGGCACGTATATTGCTTAGCTTACAACACAAGTGTGCAGAAGTTTTTATATTTCAGTTAAACAATAAACACATTCAGCTGTTAGCTAGTGCCACATTCTGCTCATAAAGCTCATTCATAGGCTAAGACCTATATGACTTCAAGTCCTGCCAACCCTATTCAATAAGAATACCCTATGAGCCACTAAATCACTCTCATTGAACAGGGGATGGCAGGTGGATGTGCTTAGCACCAAAGTGTACCTATGGGTTTCTCAGATGTAAACCCAGGCCTGTTGTAAAATTTAGCTATACATACCTGCTTCAGTACAGCTAGGGACACCTGGATTTTATCTTCTCTTTCTAGCTTCTCTTGTAATATAACATCTTGGATATTACCTGAGCCACAGAAGACAAGAGTACAAATGTTAATGTAATGCAACCTGTAGATTATTATTATGTGTTGTGATCAACTTTCATTTATAATTACCAAGTTATTGCATGTACACCAAAATCATTATGAGGATTATGTTTCAAACAACAAAAGCCCTTTGTCAGGCCAGAAAGAGATCGAAAGCGATGCACAGAGCTCACAGGGTTGTGGGAGTGCTGTCTACCCATCGTGACAATATAAACACAAAAATGTTGACTATTTAAGTTGAGCTTAGCCTCAGCAGTCCTATCTCCCAAGCCTCCCTACTGGTCACCTAACCAACTTCACCCACCAATAGGAAGTATGACAGAGGGCAGGTCATGTTCAACATTTACTGGAAAAGTAGATACTTTTATGTAATTTTAACTAACTACATCTCTGGATCTACTGACCTCTTGGACATGGGGTTTTCACTGAAGGTCTGATTTACATTGTTTCATCATCTGCTCATATATGTCAATGTTGTGGCAGGTCTGCTTTAATGCCCAATCCAGCAATTTGTACTTTTTTTTACAACAATAATTCTAGAGACTTTGTAAATAAAGCATTCAAATGCAGTTTTAATCACAAATCCACAGAAAGTCAGTGAAAGAATAAGACGATAAGGAAGGGCAGTGCAGCTAGCAACTGCGTTAGTGGTGAAAGGATATGATAAATATAACAATAAATGCATGAGCGCCTTGGACAGGTCTTTGATATATGCCACAAAACCTCTACAAAAGTTGATGAGCTTAAACAAAGGAAACAAAACCCCAATGATATCTTTCTTATTCTAGACTGACTTTAATAACAGGAGGCATGTAGTATGAACTATCTATATGATGTATGATCCTGCAAAATGGGTAGTCTTATATTTATCACCCAGCATACAAATGAAGGAGGATTACATAACTCCAAAATGCTGTTTCTTTTCTGTGTCTCACAGTAATTATTTCACATGTTTTTTTTGTATCTGCAATTTCCACATGATTACAAGAGAGAAACAATAAGAATATCATTTAAGCCTCCTCTATCAGATTATCTCCTTTACCTAATAACTAATTAACCTTGTGGTAGCTTATGCTTGTTGTTGAAACTTTGTACCAGCAAATCAATTTCTACGTATTGATGAAGCTACAGGATTAACACAGAAAGGCAGTAATGTAAATTTTAAATACAGCTAAAGCCTTGTTGCTCCTTTAGTTACAGTTTAATAGATGTGAGGTCATCCCAGCCAGATTTAAAGCTGAACTCCAGGCAGATATAAAAGACACAAATGAATGCAGCTCTGTATTTTTTTAATGACATCATTAAATGTATTTTTTGTATGTTTTATTAACGTGTTTTCCAAGAAACAGGACAAATTGCAGACACAGTGGATATACCAATACAGCGTATTACAATCGTAATGTGGTATATCTTTTAGTATTCTATACATACTGGGTACATTCACATTTTGTAGGCAGAACAATGTGCTACAATGGCGTTGATAAGTGCACCAAAACTACAAAAGGAAACTGTTCTTGAAACATTGTGTATTTAATGACAAAGACAATGGTAACACAAGAGAAAGGGGGTAGAACCTCTATGCAATAAAGGAGGTCACCTGTTGAGTTCTGACCTATAGGAATTTAAACCTATATGACATTGTCGGAGTTGGAGGTTTTAAAATGTAGGCAGCTCCCTCATGTTCTGTATTACATATCACAGTCTGCCTATTTAAGGATAGTAATCTCCTCCATTGGATGTACCCTATCATTTGGCTACTAATGGTGGACTGGCGGTGTAGTATCAGTGATTCCTTTTATGTGTGAGCCGACATAGTTGTGTTGCAAAATAGAAGGATCCAGGGGTCCTGTGGGTGGGTTATGGTAGTGAATTTTGCCATGAGTTTGGTGATGTTTCCAATAAAGATCAATAAGTGTACCAAATGTGGGAGAATGTACCAGTCCACAATTCCAGCAGAACAATAACAGGGTTGACCACATACCATTAAATTAAGGGCTGTTCGCACCTATGCGCTGAGTTGCTATTCATTTGAATATCAACCCAACACATCTTCTAGCCACAATGCATTGCAATACTGTGTGTTGCATTGGAAAAAAAGCAGTACAGGCAATACCTTTTTTTCCACCGTACAGCAACGCATGGTATTACGGTACCGTGTATTGCAGTGCATTATGCCCAAGAGGTGCACAGGGGTGCCATTCAAATGGATAGCAACGCAACTCACCTGCTGTACTGTAACTCACAGTAGGTACATGGGGGATAATGTGTGTTAATTGCACAGTATTGTGTGATTAATGCGATGGGCCCTCAGGCAACATGTAAAAGATCAGGTGCTGACTGCTTGGACCTAAAGGGGGATAGCAGAAGTGAAGACATACTGTACATACACAGATGCTGTTACCATGTCACTGAATACATCACCTCAGCTGTTTCAGACCAAATTTTACATAAAAAAAAAAATGTAGGAAAGAGTGTGGAAGGTTTAGAACCTCAGGCAAGTTTTACTGCTGTCTATCTCCCCCATTGCCTTAAACACTATCCACCGCAGCATCAAGAAGCAATGGGCTATCTCTCCAATGGGACACAAACAAAACCACTTTTTCTGGTGGAATAAAAAAGGGTTAGGACCTGTCAGGTTTTGAATGTCTGTGTCTTACCATCACAGGGACAGTGCATGGTGTGTAGTTTTATTTAGGTGACAATGTAGCAACTATCAGACTTGGTGACCTCAGACAAAGGAAGTAAAACTGAAAATGAGGAAAAATATAAATCTAAAGAAAACTAAATAAAGTAAGCCTGAACAATCATAATGATTACAGGCCAAAGGTTTACATTTCTGTGACTTCTCTTCATGGTCTCTATATGTTTGTGGAAATATGTGTAGCTCATACATTTTTAAAAAAGCACCTTTCATTTTTTTGTAGTTTTCTTTTGAATAGAATGGGTCAGGGATGGAATCTCTTTTGGGTTGTGATTGCTACCTGTCTGCCTTATGGGGAGATATCTTTTGACCTATTTCAAAGTCTAACTGCCCCCCGGACAAGAATTCAGGGGAAATCCTCCATCAAGGACACAGATTAAGTTGCCATCCAAATGGTATTTGTGCGGCTGGTTAGTAAAACACCTCCCTGTCTGGTGCCAGAATCTTTAAATTAGCCGGTTATATAGCCAATAAAATCCTTATCAAGTTGCAGAACTATAAATCTCTGTGATTGTGGTGCAGTATAATACATGGGAAACTGCACACAAAATGTATGATAAGATACCGCAAATACCCTTAGAGTCAATGGAACGGTTCACTTTTCTGCACTTCCATCCAGTTTCTCTGTTGACAGCACAAATGCTGCACTTGAGACAAGAAGGCATCTACCATATAGATCAATGCAACTGCTTTAACAAACAAATATATTTTACATACATATGTATTTATTTACATGAATGGCATTGTGATAGAAGAATGATGAAAAATGTGCTTTAAAAAACCTCAAAAAAGCATGTAAAAATTACATTGGTGTCAAAACACGAATGTGTTAGCCATAAAGAAATCTGTATAAGGTGTAGAATGGTTCTGCTCTCCTAGATCATGAATAATGATGTTTAATAAAAATAGGAAAGCGAGGCACTGGTCGAGAAGCATGTTAGCTTTCTGCCATTCTTTGGCCAGGTCCTCCCTCACCTGGCAGGCTACTTGATACCCAACCAGCAACCCCATACCGATAGCTTCAGTCACATCAGCTTCATGCAGCAGCTGTTATTCCAGAGAGGGCTGGAAAGTGTCAGAAAATAAATAGCCAGTAAGAAATGATGGATGATTTTTGGACGGCAGAGTGGACAGCATGCTCAGGAGACCAGAAGAGGTGTCTGAAGAGATTTTTGCTGAGACACGCTATCCAGCTGCTTGACAGAATAATCACCCCTGTACATTTTATCCAACAACAGAGGTCAGTTTTCTTGTGTTCATCCTGCAAGTCAGATTTTACATCTTGTGATCACTGATTTTGAGGAACTAGAGGTCTAATCTGAGCTGACCTTTTGTATCTTAGAAAGCCCAAAAGCTGCTATGTAAAAATGTTTTGTTCCAAATAATAAATAAGATTACAGCTATGCCAGCTCAGACTCTAAATCAGGCCTTCTTAAGTATACAGTATATTTTGTTCTTGCACTGCTATAAATTGCATATCCGCACCCATTAAAGTGTCCAGATAAAACTTTTTTTTTTTGGATTCGACTGGGGAAGGAAAGGAAACACTGTTTTTTTGTTTTGTTTTGCTACCCAAGGCTCCATTGGAGAGTTTTTCCATCACTTTCTGTCACGGTGACAAGTATTTTAACAGACAGGATGTGATGCAAAATCTGCAACATAGGCAGACATAGATTTTTTTTATTAGAGTAGAGGAAGGTTAGCACCCCAGTCAGTTTTTTTTTTTTTTTTTTTTGAAGTTCGGACCCACCATTATGGGGCTGCAAAAGCGGTGATGGTGCAGTGGAAGATGGGACTTGTGGTCCTCCATTCACAGATCCCTACAAATGGATCAGTAAATGGATAATGCGGCTGTGGCAGAGGATTTAGGTAAGTGGGGGGAGGTTTGAATGTGGGTGGTTGGGTATATGATCACATTTAGGATGTAATATGAAAACATGATCACATGCTTTTTAAAATTGTAGTGCAGATTGGAAGGCATACAAGCTTAAAACAAGATATTGCTCAAGTACTGTATCATGCTATCTCTGGATACAAGCTATCCAGACAGTGCTACATACAGAGGAAAGGGGATTTTAAACCATGCCCTACTTTTATTAGCTTGCCACTGCTTCATGCAACAAACAGAAACATCTTAACACTAAGGGCCCTTTTGGAATACCCTTTTGCCACAACTGGCAGCTTGTGTACAATGTAGTAGTGGTTCTATTCATAACATTGCTGCTGCTAGCTGACCCTAAGTCAGGCTGTCAATGTGAAGGTGGGTGGTGCTTATAG